CCCCCTTTTCCTGCCCACAGCTGGGGGTTCTGTTTTTCCAGCCCCTTCCCTCCTGCCCCACCAACTGGGCTTCATCTCAATGCCACATGCTATGAAAGCAGGGCAGAGGATTTGTATTTTACCCACAACCTGGATGAAACTATTTATTTATCTTAAACTAAGATTTCAGGATAGTATGCTAGTACTGAAATTACATTAAAAGGTTTAAGTTATGTTTTCTCCCTAATTTTACACTCCAGTTAGCCCAAATTTTCACGCTTTATTTCTTTCCCATGATGAAGGTTTTGAGAAACCCAGTAATAAACAGCCTTTAATAGTGGGGTGCTGAGTATAAATCTCCAGGGGGACACTTCTCTAAAAAACACACAGCAACCATTGGTTCCCAGCATATATCACAGGGTAGGTTTTATACAGAAATGTTACAGTTGAAACAAACCCCAAAAAAACCAAATCAGCCACTTCATAACATGTAACTACAAAGAAACTGTATTTAAAAAATAACATATTAGTAACAAATATATCAATTACTGAACCCAAACAAAACCAAAAAAGCTATGATAAAGTAAACTCCTTCCTGTGAAAACACAGTTTGTCTTTGGATTTTTGGGGAGGTCTAATTGAAGAGCTTCCTTTGTTTGAACTTTGACTCTCTAATCATCTTAAATAATTTATGTATTTTTATGTAAAGGAAAATGACTCCTCTCTATTCTTCACACGAAACAACAAAAATTACACACAAAAAGGGCTGTTAGCCCATTTTAAAACTGCATAAAACCAATTGCAATTACCTACTCCACAATCTGCAGCAGCAAACACAGCTGACACACTCAAAGCCCAGCTGAGCACCTGGCAAACGGAGCTGAAGCTTCCCAACAAACTTATGCCTTTGTGGCATTTCTCCTATCTCTGTAGAGGGGGGAAAAATCCATATCCAAAGAGAAGGCACAGATAATGAGCTATCAGATGGAGAAAGAAGCTGTTTTGCAGATCCTGAATATTTTATTGCCTCCTAGTTTAAAAGAGATTTAAATCTTAATGCAAGAGGGAACTATTAGAGCTCAAACCAGTGGTAGGACACTTACAAAATTAATACCTGCTGCTTTCATAAATTCACTTTGCATTCTTCAGGGCAAGGAATTCAGGTGCTGTCCACACACAGCACTGCAATAAACTCACTCCTGTACAGAAACTCAGGAGAAGGGAGGAGGCAGAGTGGGACAAACCAGCCCTTGGTTTCCACAACTTCAAACCAGGGCAAGGCATTAATCTGCAGAGCCTTATTAAAAATGCTAATGAGGACACTGGTACCATGCCCACCTCCTGTAACCTGGAAAACAGCTGAAGGAAGATCATTATTTTTATCTCCATTTCACAGGTGGTGGCTGCCAGAGAAAGATGTGGGAACTCGCTCAAGGTGCCCAGCCTGTGGATACAGGAGCAGCCAGCAAATTTCCCAGTCCCAGCTCAGGGCGTATCAGATTCCAAAACATGCTCAGATTGGTTTTACTAAGCTGCACTGTTCTGCTAGCACATCCTACTGCTAAAGTTGTTCCTTTAAAAAACAAACAGCCTCAAAGCAAACAATAAGGAAAAAGCAATCATAGGCAGAGTGCTCCCACACCGTGGAGATGTAGGGAATGCCCACGGCTGGGGGCTACAAACACAGTAGGAAGTTCATAAATGTGAACTACCAGAGATGCCCTCTGTTTAAAACAAACCATTTTTCCTCCTCCATCTGTGTTTTGCTTGTATAATTTCATATTATCAGCTTTATTAAATTTTAGTCAAGCAGAAGAATTCAAATGCTTTGGATTTTTACGTATTTTGTCATTCCTCCATCAGAGGCTCACAGGATATCTGCTTTTCTAGATGACAATGAAGGTTCTTAAAAAACAAGCCAGCATGCCTACATAAAGGAAAACTACAGGACAGTAAAAACCAGCAGCTGTTACAAAAGGTGGTGAAGGAAGCAAATGGAAGTTTAGCCCATTAAACTGGTAAGGTACCAGAGAGCTGCATCACATCAAAACCACAATAATACCACTGTCCCACTGCCTACATGGGGAATCACAGCACATAACTCAGGCCAGTTTTGTGTTTGCCCACAAAACTGCATTCCCAAATAACCAGGCAGGCAGGGAATCACCTTGTGCTTTCTGCACTCCTTTTCAGAGCCTGTTACAGCTGCTGATTGACAGTTGCCAGAATTGGCTGCTGCCCGCTGCATATAAACACTAATTGCTAAAACACACACAGATTAATTGTAACCACAACAAGACATTAAACGTTCCTCAAAAGCCAAGATTAGAGACAGACAGCGAAATAGATGCTTCAGAGCTTCCAGTATTTATAGCTGATGTAATCTAATCAAACACACATTATGGCAAAATAAATATCCACTTAGTCACATAAGTACTAAAATACTCTCAGCACACCAAAACCCAAAAAATGCACCAAGTTCCTCTCCACAGCGCCTCCAAAACCACTTCTCTTTTCTCTAGAATGCAGCTCCTTTTAACAAGATTTAGCCAAAGAATTATATGAATCGAAAGCATCCGTCACTTCCCAGTAATCCAAACTGTTTACTACAGCGCTTCAGCCCCGTGTAAACCAGGCTTTAGTCAATGAGCTTCTATTCTGCAATTATTCACTGCCACGGGCCCCAGAGCTCCATCCCAGCCCTCCAGAGCTCGTTTTTCACCCTGCTGGGACAGCCCCTGCGACTGCAGGGCTCCACACGCAGGAAATCCCGAGCTAAACACGGGATTAATGCTGCTCGGAAAACTGAGCTCATTAGTCTCTTTAGCAAATCATTATTTTGCAGTTATTCTATTACACCAGCCTACTTTCCAAAACACAGAAGCTTTAGAAAAGCTTTCTTAAATTTGTTGACTTGGGTGAATATTTTATTGTTAGCTTTTATTATCAAATAAAACACAGAGCCTATTTTTTGACAATTTTGGCAACAGTACTTCAATATAATTCTGAAAACAACAGTGAAGTTCTTACCTACACATGAAGCATCACATAACAGGGATAAAAGGACTGCAAGCACTTTCTCACAGACATCACCCATCCCAGCTGAGCTCAAAACATGCTTCATTCCCAGCCACACAGACCAGGCAAGCTTTACAGATCCATGAAGAGGAATAAACCTCACACCAGGACAACAAGAGCAGTAAAATATTCCCAACACACCCAGGGTTGCTACTGTGTGAGCTCTGGAAGTCCCAGGAATGGGAAAAGCAAGTTGCACTAGTCACAAAAAATCAAGCACTACAGACATCTGGCAGCCCCCTGGAAAGGGCTATGGCACAAATCAAAGTAATGCAATGTACTAAAAGTATCCAAATGTTAATGTGATAATTTATTTTCAAAGATCTAGTAAGAAGCTGACAGTAAAAAGCATTAAACAAAGCCCAACAATTGAACAAAACACACATGCCATCTCAGCAACAGCAAGGAAAGGCTGCATTTTAAAGACTCCATTTACTACCTTAATGAATTATTTTAATACGAAAGCTAATTTTTTCGCTTGTATTTCTTCCCCCTGCTTTTGTCATTTTTTCTCATTACAGCTTAAACTCAGCTGTTACCAAAGTACCTCCTCAGCGTCTGCTTCTCTCACACCACTTATTTCTTGTTTGTACTGTGTTTTAACCTTCTGAGTAAACCCCCAGTGGGGTTTCCCAGACTCCCAGTGCTATTATTCTCTTTCATAGTTGTTTTTTTTTAATTATTTTTTCCCCTTTTCATCTTTTATTTCTGCTCTCTCATGTAGACAGCTGAACATCTAGAAATCAGTAGCTGGAGAACTAAAGCCATGAGAAGGGAGAAAGGCATGAATAAAAGCCATACAAGGTTGCATCTGCTGCTGGAAAACTCAAAGCAGAAACAAGCTTTATCTACAAGAACTAAAGGCAACCTTTTGCAAAGTTGCTCTCTCTCAATATTGCTCTTTTCATTACAGTCTTGAGGTAAGAGGGGATCAGAAATCTGTCATCTTCTCCTCACAGCCCTGTTCAGCGTGGCAGGAGCACAAAGCAGGATGTTCCTCCCTTGGTGGCCCCAGTCTCTGGGGTTGTGTGACAGAGGTGACCCTCAGCCACAGGCACGGGAGTCCTTCAAAGGAGGGCAACAGTACCTCACCTACCACTTACAGGGCTTTAAAGCAGCTCCTGTGTGTTTCTCCACAAAATTCAGGAATCTTTGAGGAGCCCTCCCAAGCAGCACTGGAATGCAGGGGTGTTTCATGAGCCATCCCTCCAGCACACCTTTCTCAGCTGGTGGTCTCACCCCTCAGCACCTGGAGTACACTCTCTGCAAGTCCCACAGCCTCCAAGGACAATGGCAATTCAAGCCACATGCCACAAAAAGCTCCTGAGCCTT